ATGCGATTGCAAAACTAATTAACATGCAGCAGTATTCTTAAATACTTCAGTTACCTCAGGGTGCCGGCTTTTGAAAGAACTTCCCCTCGGCTGCACGCGGGAACTAAACCCTGCAAAAATGACTACTTAAATAACATGCGTTATCCTCATCGATTTTCGATGCCCTTAAGAATCCAATTATAGTTCCTGGAAAACATGCATAAAAATATTCCTTCTTTCCCTCATTCAGTAGGAAATTACGTCTTCTTTTAATTTCATGCTCAAAGAAAGGGTATAATTTGGTTTTAAAAAAATTTACAATTGTGAGACTTCTGCGCCCTTCCGCTCTTGCCGAGCCTGGAATTTAAAAATTAACTTGTATCGATTTTTTTTCACTCGCTGTACCCCTTCCTATGTAACTATATTGGCCTGATGAGAATTTACCAAAAGGAACGTTCGCTCTCCACTGTCTCTTCTGAACATAGTTATGGGGATTTTCACAACTCTAAAACAGTCCAAAGGCCCCACGGTATTGAATGCACCCAATGGGTACTTAAGTTGTAACACCAAGCTTGCGAAGGCGAAAGTGATGGCCAAGTTTATCAGGGACTGTATTGATCAGATTGAGTATCCAAACCGATATTGGAGAGCGCTGCGTCGTAGTCGTACAGATATTTCCGCAGAAACCCTGCAGAGATACGCTAAGAATCCTCTGGAGAGTACCGTCGTAAAATTAGAGGAACTTGGGCGTCATGTGTGTCAACGCAGAGCCGTCCTAGATATCCTGGCAGATGAGGAAAGACAAGAATTCGACATGTACACTCAGTCCATTAAAAAGAAACGTGAAGAGGCAAAACGCTTTGCGCTTCTTAGGAGTTTACATGAGATGAAACCCCAGTCACGGTTCCCAAAAAATCCAGCTCTGTATGTTCACACCCACTCTTACATGACACTTGATAAAACATCACTTGAAGCATTATCCGAAGTTTTGCTTACCTCGCTGAAAAGTAAATCAGTTAGAATTGGAAACTCAGTTCGAGAACCTCTGGAACCAAACCTTCGATCTATTGCTCGCTTCCACAGACAGTATCCAACACTTTAAATCCACATAAGTGAATTGCATCTATCAATGCCTAAACAAAAGGCCAAAAAGTCGAAGATTGCTGACAAAAGCACACGTGGAAAAATTAAGAGAACTCTGAGAGAACAAAGAGATCTTGGTAACTAGACCTGACAAAGGAACAGTCGTCGTCATAATAAACAGATCGGACTACGAACCGAAGATACAGTCCATACTATCTGACCAGCAGAAATTCAGAATGGCAGATAAAGAAAAGGATTGTACGGATGACGCAGAGGCGAAATTGATTGACTGTTTAAGAAGGCTCCACACAGGAGGTCACATAAGTGACGATGACTTCGAATACCTTCGGCCAGTCGGCACACATATCCCTCGATTATATGGTTTACCTAAGATCCATAAGGAAGGCCTACCGCTTCGTCCGATTATAGATATGAGGAATTCTCCGTATCATGCAATAGCTAAGTGGTTAGCAGAGAAACGCAAGCCCATACAACATCAGCTGGTACCACGCAGCTATCGAGATACCTTTCAATTCATTGACGACATCAAAGGCCTTAACGTCAACGGCATGGGGATGTTCTCGCTAGACGTCGCATCACTTCTTACAAATGTCCCAATCACCGGGACATTTGATTACATCTGTGATTTTCTATCTGCCAGTCATCAAGAAATAGGAATACCGACGAAAACCCTCAAGGAAATATTACTAAGATGCACATTAAATGTGCAGTTACTTTTTGACAACCAACTCTATAGACAAATAGACGGCGTTGCCATGGGCTCGACTCTTGGACCTCTCTTAGCCGACGACTTCATGAGCAAGCTGGAGAGATTTCAACTAAGCGATCAGAGCAAAAAGCTTAAACATTATGGGCGTTATGTTGATGATATCCTTGCGCTTGCAACCCCAAAAAACCGACGTCACTGCCCTCCTAAATGCTGCAAATCAGGCACATCCCTCGATCAAATTCACGTTGGAGATGGAATTGCCTGGTTCGCTTCCTTTCTTAGATGTCCTTCTAAACAGGAGATCTGAGGGTAGCATCCGAAGGAGCGTCTAACGGAAGAAAACCTGGTCTGGACAATACACGAACTTCGCTAGTTTCGTACCTCTCTAAAAAAAAACGGACTCTAGTCAGGTGTTTGGCACAAAGGGCTAGAAAAATTTGTTCAACAGATAGTATCGAGGAGAAACTTAGAAAAATCCAGGACTTGCTTCGTAATAATGAGTACCCTGACAGGTTCATTGCAAAGAACCTTGCCGAACGATCCGTAAAACCCACCACACTGACCGCCGAAAAGAAAACGTTGTTCCTCAAAGTCCCCTTCCAAGGAGACGCCGCAAGTAAACTCCTAAGAAGACGCCTTGACCAAGCTGTCTCGGGAACGTTCCCAGCATCAAGGGTTCACATATCATTCTCTACTAACCCTATGTTCCGCGGAGAAGGCAAGGAAAGGCTGCTACCTCAGACCGCTTCAATGTGCATCTACTCATTCACTTGCTCCTGTGGAGCAGGTTATATTGGTCGTACGAGTCGGCGCCTTTTCAAAAGAATACGAGAGCACCTTCCCGCATGGCTGGCAAAGGGTGAAACTAGGAGAATAGACAGCGCCATCCTTGCGCATGCAGTGGATTCAGGGCATTGTGTGGACCCCGCTGAAGCCTATCGTGTTATTTACAAGGTGTCCTCGAGCTGCCCTAAGCTACTGGGCCAGCGCTTGTTAGCAATAGCAGAAGCGGCCGCCATAAGGTTACGAAAACCGACCCTATGCGCCCAGAAGAACCTTGTCCAGGCTCTGCGCTTGCCGTGGTCAAAGGTTGACTAACCACATACAACTTTCTGCGTCCTTCCCAGCCCAGCCTGGAATTAAGGAACTAACTTTTATCGATTTTTCACTCGCTGTACCCCTTCCTGTGTAACTGTATTGGCCTGATCAGAAGTTACCGAAAGGAACGTTCGTTCGCCACTGTCTCTTCTGAACTTTTTAATACCGCGAAATGGCCGTTCACAAAACGCCTTGTCTCTGAATTTACCAATGTGGCTTGGAATGTTAACAATATAGGTCAAATCCACCGCTTAAGTTTATGAAAAACATATGGCCTCCTCTTAGTACCGTAGAAAAATTTGTGGTTCACCGTACTCAAAAAATATACAGTTTGTAGCTTGGAAACCCTGAACGCAAGCGTAACAGCAGGCTGACGTTTAAAATTATTCGGGAATTGGGAAAGTTTTATAAAACCAAATCATACCCTTCCTTCGAGCGTAAAATTGAAAGAAGACGCAGTCTCCTACCGATTTAGCGAAAAAATAACTATTTTTATGCATGTTTTCCACGAAATTTAATTGGACTCTTAAGGACATCGAAAGTCGATGAGAAAAACGCATGCTAGTTAAGTAGCCATTTTTGCAGGGTTTAGTTTCCGCATGCAGCCGAGGGGAAATACCTTCAAAAGCCGGCATCCTGAGGTAACTGAACTATTACAGAAAAATGCTGCATGATGATTAGTTTTTCAACCGTACTTAATTAATCCTTTCGAAACGAAAACGAATTTCGTAATTTTGGTTGACATTTCATGACTAAGCACACCTAATGAATACCTGTTTAAATTACAACTACTTAAAATTGATTTTCTGCAGACGTTGTTTTACAAAGTTGAACTGCATGAATAATGTATTTTCAATAGTTGAAGCGGTAAGTCATCAGTACGTGACAGTATGAAATGACCAGGTTTTAGACGCAGACCCCTGAGGCAGTTTCGGCAGATAGTAAGTGCCTGCATGGTAAAAGCCTGCTGGGTTAGCCTGCCATAAGAACGAAAACAAGGTCACACTAACGCCAGTGGTAATTAAATCCTTGCTGCCATACAAGTCCCGCAACTTTTTCAAATGCAGCATAGCCAGGGCAGTTTTATTATCTGAAAAGTCCTCAAATAATGGCGTGGAGCAAATTTTCCCACACTCATCAGCAGATACAGTCGCCCCCGGAACGAGCATGAGTTTCTGCCGACTTAGCTTGTAAGTCTCCTGGTTGGTTGAGGCCATCGCCAATGATGCGCGAACTCACTGACCAATTTACCCGTTCTATTGCACACAGGCTGCATTTGACGCAAAAAACAGCGTCTTGCGGTTTACGCAATCCAAAATCTATGGACTTGTTAAATAGGCATGCATTAGAGGCATCCAAGATTATAGACTGAATGTTTACTGCAGTCACGTCCGACCTTGAGGTGTAGCGAATTAGATTTTGAATTACATACCTTCAAGCCCCCAAAACACCGACCGAAGACAGGTATAATTTCTAATCACGCCGAAAGAAGGCACTCCTGAGATTGTGGGTGGGATCAACTCTTTTTTTGCTAACTTTTAAGTAGTTTGAATTAGTGTGTTAGAACAACATAATATAGATGCCAAAGGGTGCAGGTAAAACACTTCTTGTGGGATCGTGCCCGCCAAACGGGCGGTGTGGTTGTTGGGATGGGCCAACATGGGACCATATTGGACTCTGGCAGGCGTTATCGGAGTTGGTT